AGAACACATCAAAATGGGGCAATACACATCAACTATCCTAGAACCAGAGAATATAGTCAGTCAGGACACATCAAAATGGGGCAATACACATCAACTATCCTAGAACCAGAGAATCAATAGTCAGTAAGAACACATCAAAATGGGGCAATACACATCAACTATCCTAGAACCAGAGAATATAGTCAGTCAGGACACATCAAAAAGCATGGCGTTGAAGATGGCTTGCCTTTTATCAGTTCTGAACAACTCCTTGACTTCATCCATGACGATTTCTTGGAAATACGGCAGGAACTTGAAAGGCTGTTGAAAATTTCAGGTTTAATGTTATCACCAATCAATCGGCACTGAATCATTATAATAGATTTCCCAATAGTCCAACAGTTTGATTGATGTGAAWCGAAATTATTGCTATTATAAATTATTATCAATCGTCTTTTAAAAGCCTTGAAACCTTAAATCATTACTATTATAAATTATTATTTATCGTCTTTTAAAAGTCTTGAAACGTTAAAACAATACTGGAACCCCTCCTCACGAAACCCCTACGCACACCCCTGCTGTGAACTCTCGTCATGAGAACACCCCCGTTACTATGGACATCAAAGAACAACAATCTTTATTTACACGGTACGAATTTCATGTTTATTGTTAAGGATACTGGGTGATATGTCGTTGTGCTCTACCTTGGCTATCTTGTGTTCTTGTCCAGCATCATACACGTTATTAAAAGGAGCCTCCAAGATCACTCCAGAAGGTGGAGCACCTGGAAAAAGCATTGTTCCATTCTAGTATCTTTCACCATGACAAGTAGTAMTTGACAGCGGTATTTGTTTATGCTTACCTCTATCACACAGTACTTTTGCTACTCCAGTGCCTACACTGAAATCAGCGCAGCAAATAACAAGTTAACATTTCTAATTAAAATGATTGAATTGTTTGTTCAAACAATGAAATAGAGTCGCTTTCCTTTGACCGTGAAAGTTTGTGAGACAAATAATTTGGAAGTAAATTCTGAATTGATTGCTTTTCTCTTTATCAAAATATTAACCAAATTTTCATTTCATTTCATAGTCAAATAAAAACCACTCCATCCAGTCATTTGAAGTTAATAAAAGTTAATTCCAAACAAATGGCGCTATCATAAATCCTTTCTTACGCTGTTCCAAGAGAATGGCCCCAWATATACACAGTTGAGTTTCCAGACCTCGCCTTGACCCATTCATAAGTAGCAAGACCGTCATCAATCAAACCTACAAAAACACAAGTATCATGAAAGTCCTTAAGTACCGAGTTAACAAGCAATGCATTCACTCTTTAGTATTTTCTCTACAAGTAAAGAATAATGATATGCATTTACCCTGCTCTGAAGGAACTCCATCTGAATCTGCAAAACCTGTGATGAAAATAATAACACTTTAATAAATAAAAACACAGTTTGTTTCAAAWTGAAACACTTGGTGCAAATGCAGATGTGGACATGTTGGTTTAGTAAATAAATTAGTATAAAAAGGGTTTATAATATTATGTAATATATAAAATATGAGTGGGAGACCTTTATGGGAATTTAAAACTGCGAGCTGCAAGCGAGCCCATAAAGTTTGGACGCAAATAATTTTTATGTTGCTTATCAAATTCCAACATAAGGTAAAGCATATTTCGAAAAAAACTTCAGGATAAAATATCATTTGTAAGAGAAAATCGAAGTTAAAGTCGTATGCAAATCAAGCCATCTCTTGCTCATATAAAGATACTGTCATGGCAATGATTTTCCATTGTGTTTACCTTATTATTAATGAATTTGATAATGATTGTTCCATACTTACCTCTGTAGTCTAAGGTCACTACATGATAAGACATTGAAGARAGGAGCTGGAGATGCAACAAAACACAAAGAATTAACAGAAAACTTTGAACTGCTGTTGCATGAGAGCCAGAGGTTAGCTACAGGCCTACAAACTGGCCATATCTCTCCAACATGTAAATAAGGTGCATTACKTTTTGCCCTGAACAATAGCCTGAAGTTGTATGACTTGGTTAACTGGAGAATGGTGAAAAACAAAACACGTACAACAAGCAAAAACAAAGTTTAACACACAAAATAACAATAACATCTGGAGTCGTTACAATGGGAGTCCTTACCTTGTATAGAGCAACTCTGTGTTTTTCTGCTCTAATTAAAAGAAAATCATTAAAATATTTCAAAAATGATTGTGTACAGCATTACAACATTGTGATGTTCTCCTACTATTTTTCAGCCATTTTGGTTAATGTGGCTTGAAATAAGCGCCACCATCAAAAATGTAAGTAGGTCTTCACGAAGGTCATAAAGTAACATTTCAATGTCATAAAACTGAAGCTATCATTGACAAAAGGAAGGGCGCATTAGCTGTAAATTCATTTTTGATCAGAGGAGAGAGAGCAATACTATTAATTAAGTAATGGTCCGAGTAAGAAGCAGGCAAGCAAACGGTAATGGAATGCATGAAGGTGCTAATTGTGTATTGTATAATCCATCCATCTCATTGGTTAAAACATTAAAATCTGAAATAATTTCAATAGTAATCGCATTTTTTAATATTTTATTTAATATCTGATTCTAACTTCATAAAAGCTTTCCTTAGCTTTAATTTTAATAGCAATTCTATGTGGGAAACATAGCAAATTAAAAGCATCTTTTGGCTATTGTTTTGAGTGCTTATGATTGGACAAGATCTCTTAATACAAAAGAAACTTTGTTTCAAAACAGAGTTTATCCACATTTTATTTTAAAAATGTTTTACCCATAGGTTGATATATCATTGATGTGAAAACCAAGACATTCGTATGTGGGGAAGTTGCAATTGCCGCAGAACAATAGAAGGTTGCCTGCTTTTTGCGCGCATTGTTACTTAATACCAATAAAAACTAACGAAGTAGTAACTTAACTAATATCAATTACCATCATCATCATCACATGATAGTTAATTATAATCATACATGTAGTACATACCTGGTATACGCATTACCATGGAAATATACCATCACAGGGTTCCCATCATCAAGATTGATTGCACCATAAAATTTCTTACTCTTTGCTTGTATGTACCTTCAAGGAAAGAGCATTTAATGATGTGCATCAGTGGGAATCAAGTGGATAGTATTGGAATATTTGAAGTACTTACCAGGCCCCCAGTCTTCCAGCAGGCCCATCAATGTATAAATTAATAGCATTTTCAACACCGTGTATAGATGGGTYAGTCAAATCTGTGAAAGGATTCCTAGCTGAATATACAAATAGTACACAATCAGAACTTAAAAATAGGAACAACGATATGTTAACAACAGCTACACTTGTGAATGTTTACCATTATTTCATATGTACAACAATCCCATAATATTATACAATCATGCAACTTGTATTACTAACCCTCGTTACTTTGGACACTAAATTATAGCTCCAAGGGTGTCCGTAATAGCGAGAGTTGACTGTATTTGGAAAATCCCACAAAGTGGGGAAACATTTATAATAAAAAAGTGATTTTGATTAAAGGGCTACTTGGACGAAAATTCCGAATCATTAGAAAAGACTTGGATATCAAATAGACCTATCTATATGGGTTTAATAATCATGAAGCAACAGATTTCAAGAAGATATTTATACAAATCCTTAATAATTTGGACAAAAAATGTTGGAGTAGATGACATCATTTAGTCCATCCTTTTGTTCTTCCATCTTTTGAATCAAAATTTATCTGATGTGGGACAATTCAAAAACAAATATTTTCCCGCAATTTTTTGTAATAGATATAAATGAGTCATATGTTAGTATTGCTTGAAGTTTTGAATTAAGGCCATTTTCATGCAAGTAGCACTTTAAAGTTCCTATAAGTGATGWTTGATAGCTAAAATACCTTACCATAATTAAGATAGATAACTTGATTTCTAGCCCAAGGTGAACTATACATAATAATTACAACCAGTATGTATCCTGTTACTGGTATCATTATCGATAATTGAATGAATTTCTTCACAATCCTCCTGAAATGAAATATTTAACATGAAGTAAAAGGATGCCTGTCACTGTATGTATATTCTGGGACTTTACTTTAAGTCAGACTCAGTTCTCCCTTGATGAAATGGCAAGGGTTTAAACAAAAACGTTCATGGTATTGGGACTACTTTGTCAAATTATTTCTTGATTAAAACAAAACATTTCTTTCTAGGTACTGAAGCAAGACCTAAACAATGTTGGAAAAAATAGAACAACAAGACCTAAACAATTAATTAAAGGGACATGGTCCACTAGCATGCAATGCGGTCGTGTTTTAGATTTTACATAATGGAAAATGAGGTGACTTCGAATATCCATCTGCAATCTGTTTCCATCCATCGGTTTAACGGTCGAATCTTAAAGCATCTCCATTCATATAGGATAAAGGAATAATAAAGAGTAAGTTTTTGCTTTAATATTACGATGTATTTCTATTTCAAACATAAACAAAAGCTCGAAAGGGATGCTGGTGGACCATGACCCTTTAAAATTAATTAATTAAAATTAATAAACAACACTCAGGGACATCAGATCATTTTTACTGATGGGGGTAGGAGGGTTAGGTGGTTGAATGTTTATGCACACAACTATCACTGTGTTGCTATACCAAATATAAAGTAGGATTACAAAGATGGTACAGATTTGAAATACAAATGAAGAGCAATTATGGTATATATTTGTTTTGCAAGTTGTTTTTTTAATGTTTTATAATTTGCAGACTAAAAAAGGTGGGGGAGCTGCAGTTTCCCAGTCTTCTATATCCCTGGTAATCTATTATATTATCAGCAAACCTGGACAGCTCAGACAGATATTCTAGAATCTATAGCATATCCCCATTAAGCAGCTATATTGATACAATAACTACAACAACTCATATCTAATTAGACGAAGATAKAGATCACACAGTATCAAACCTTACCATAGCAATGAAGTCTGTTGTTCCGCCCTGTTTTCCATTCTGAATTATCTGAAAATTATTGAAATATTTTCATGGAAAATCAGCTCTTTGTGTACTAGTCAACTCCACATATTTATCATATAAAAACATTGGAAAGTTGTCCCTTTATTAGTAGCKAATTGCTAGACAATGCCTAGAATAAAGAGCTTGATAAGTTGTAAATGCAGGTATCATAAACACTATTAAAAGTTAAGAGAGAAAAATGGTCTCATGAGTGAAAACTTAGAAAGATCTGGACTTAAGATATTTTTCTACAATTTAGTCTTAAAAAAAAGAACCAAACCACGCTGTTTACACAATAAAACTTACCTATCAAACTCAAAAAACCTCAAATGATGGCATCCATGCAGGCAAACGAGAAGTCAAATCTCGACAGGCGTTACTTGTAGCTAGTTTCCAGTCTAATGACTAAAAACACAGAAAGCCCAAAGGCCACAAAGAAACAAGCTCGTTCCCAGGGCTACTCTGCTCTCTTTTTTCAAAATGGAGACGGGAGAATCTATGTAGCACTCAGTTGATGTAATATATTCATAAAGATATAATACAAAACACATAATACAATAGAACGAGAAACGATGGAATACAATACATTTTATGAATACATTACATCAACTGCGTGCTACGTAGGACACCCCAAATGGAGACAGAGATAGTGTTGTATTTATCGTTCTTACTGAAATGCAGGTAACCTGTGATGTATTACGTCACGATCCTGTGCCTTTTGGGATACATAAGCTAGTCTGTGACAGCTTGTTATGCATAGCGTTGCACCAACGCATTTCACGAGCCCAAACACAATATTTCTCACAGTATCTGCAAGTGCGTTTATTATTATTATTATGATTAAAAATATAAACTTATTTTTTCAAGTTAACGTTTTATGTGCAATTTTATGGCTGCCCGCCAGTCACTCAATTTTTGATTCTTGATTCTTCAGATTAATCATCTATCTCAGTAGCCTCAAAATGACGATGCA